ATCCATTCTTCAATCAGCATTTTTAGTAAGTTTGCCTTTATGTTCCTTCTCTCTTGTTTATAATGCACAAAAAATTTATCATTTTCTGGATATATATGTTAATTTATAGGGAGGGGAGTTTTTTGGCTTTATTTTTCACTGATATAATAAGGTCAAAGAAATTAAAACTGCTGAATAAATTATGCAATTTTCTTATCATATTAAACAGATTATGCGCAAATCTGTTAATTTACTCGCCGCTTTTTCTCCCCTGTTTCTTCCGTGCCACCTTATAACGCTTCAATTTAGTTCAATCATTACTTAAGAGCTCTATCTTTCCAATCACTTCCATTTAACAGATAGCAACTATTCGACTATTAACACAGTATGCTTTGCACTTTTTCTACGTTTGATTTTTAGAACAGCTATTTGTGTTTCTTTTTATTATTCTGGAAAAGAATAACCGTAATATAAGCAATAAGGCAACAATTCTCGATCGGAAATAATTTTTGTTGCATTCAAGTAAGGTTCCCCAAATACCCGTAATGTCGAAGTGAAGGAAAATGCAATTCAACATAAACATGCACCTCTTCTGTGTTCCGCTATCTTTCTAGATGACTACAGACATAAAATAAATTTGATAACCTAATTAGTTGTTATACTCTATGACCATAATAAACATTAGCAAATTGGTTAATGAATAACAACTTAAATGAAATGAGTGATTGTGCTTGACGTCATTTAGAATTTTTCTTTACTAGAAGCAACTGATATTTTTTCCACATCTCCCAGAGGCTGTTTTGAATCTACACTTTCCTCCCGGTCTTCACCCATAGCCCATGGTTCTAGGTCACTGCTTCCCAAAAGTGTAAATATGGCAGTTAAAACCAATAGAATACACGCTGTAATCCAGAATACAAGCCTCCACTCAGCAGTAGTACCCTGAAAATACTCGGTAAAAAAATTCATTTATTATTCTATTGAAACGCTGCTTAAACAACAATTCAGACGTATAATATAAAGTGAAAAAATTATGAAATATTTCAAACATTGCTCCTCTGTGAAAACATAGCTGAATTTGGTTTGAAAAGTTTAGCTTATGTACTCATGCTTCTCACTGCTAGGTAAAAAATTACAGCAGAGTTAAGCTAACGGATATAATAGCTGTTGTTTTAATCTCTATTTCAAAAGGTCTGTTTGACTATTGCAAGACAGAGATTTTTGAAAGTCGTCCTAATGTATATTTCAGAATAATTGTTCAACTCTGTCTTAAAATTATATTCTGCTACAGCGCAACAATTAGAATCTGGATTTTCCTCCTGATAGGGATTTAAAATCAATAAAGATTATGACCGTCAATAAAATTTTCCCATAAACTATTCGTTATTGTTTCAACTACAGTATTACCGACTAGTTATAATGATTTCAAACCAGATATTATTAGGTTTAAGGTATGAAGACATTGACCCAAACAGGTACAGTCAAATACTGGTAAGTGAAATAAAAAATGATTACCGCATGTGTAATGCACCCTACAAGAATAGGCCCAACAATTCCGGCAATGCAGCTTAGAGTGTTTCCAATACCTATCAATGAACCAGCATATTGACCAGCAATATCCAAGTAGTTTACCACATAACCAGCATAAGCAAAGCCAGAAACCCCAATGCCAAGAGTTACAAAGACAATAACGAGCGTCTTCTGACCACAGCCACAGTAACCACTTGCAACAAGAAAGGCAGCCTGACCTCCCATAGCTGAAATCAAACTCCTAACCCAACATGCTAAAGTATTAATGTTTCATAACAAGTTGTTTTTGTAGATCTCACCTATAATCATAGCAGTCTTTCGAGTATTTGCCGTTGATAACAAATTTGCAGACCGAACTTTATCGGCAAGAAATCCTCCGACATTAATGAAAATGAAATATGCAATATATGGAGCTGCTGCAGCGGCTCCCATCTGCAAAGAAATACGTTATTTCCACTTTTTAATTAACACTTTTTGGAAACAAAAATGCATTGTAATTCTAGGGAAACAGCACTGAGTTTAAATCAAGATTCAGAGCGTCGTTCATATATGTAGGTAAACTGGTCATCATTATGTAAGCTCCCCAGTCACTAGCAAAATGTCCTGCCAACAAGCCATAAACAGATCTCGAACATAGCATCGCTTTCCAGGGCACTTTGAGCTACAAAAAATTATTTTTAGTAACCTTTGAAAGATAGAAAACAGGTGCTTTTAAAAAACAGCAACGCAACGATATATGTAGTCATTCTCAAGACCAAACAACCCATGGACTTGTGGGATGAGAGAATGCATAAAAATTGTTACTTTTGCCTTGCTTGTTAACATCGGTCCGAGTGACTGCTGAATATATTCTTTCTCATTTTTACTCATAAATCTATGGTTTGCTGGAGTGTCAGAAACGTAGAAGAACCACAGTGCCGACCAACATACTCCAACAATGCCTATTCAAAATAATTATTAAAACCCTTTTTACAAAAAACTTTAATTAATATCAATATACGTCACTGCTAAGCGTACCATACAAGATTTATAAATGAATTACCGAAAACATAGTAAACAGATTGCCATCCTCCTGCAAAACCATACTTGCAAAGCAGTGCAGATATAGGCATTGTCACTGTCACTCCTACCTGTGTACCTAAATTCCATTAAATTATAAAATAACAAGACTGGTTGTCTGTAATTCAATCAACAATGTATTAAGTGCAGAAACCTGCATAGCAGAAGCTGGTTAGTATACTTCTTTCAAGCGGTGGTGCCCAGTCAGACCACAAAACTTGCAAAGATGGAAATAATACACCCTGAAAAAGTCACTTGTTATAGCTGAAATACGACAGTTTTTTT